CAGTTACTGGGTGTCCGCGGGGTCTTAAAAAGTCTTAAAAGGTGATAAGTCAATTTTGCGAAAAATGAAGGCCATTAAAAAGTCTTAATCGCCATTTAACAAGGTATTCAATTTTTAAGATATTTTTTTCAATGTGAAAGTTTGTTTGCTAAAAGTGTAGGTGAACGTATTTATTTATAATGCATAGCCAAAAATACTAGACAGGCAGTGAGTAGCGACTGTGATTCCTTTCTGTAACGTTAGGCGCAGGGATCTACGAGCGCCTTTTTCACTCTGAAACGCTCCAAAAAATAGATCAGATTCAGAACCGGAAAATGATTTACGAGTACACCCGACCGTAATCTCCCACCCCGCCGACCCGCAATGCTGATCGTCCAAACATAGTCGGAGTGGAGATCAGTAGTAACGGGATTAACCCGCTCTCTCTGTGGCCACTTTGAACAGCCCCGTTCCTGAAAACAAGAGCGAGATGCGCCGCCAGCAGCTGAATCAGTAAGACAGAAGACAACAGGGAAAATCCAAGGAGCGTGTGGGTTTGGCTAACGTTAGCTGGCTATTTAGCTAAATCGCTGCTTTTTATTGAAACAAATTCTACTTTTCATAAAACCAATGCTCTTGTCAGTGTCACTTTTTGTGAACAGATCGATCACAGCCTGGATGGAGATGGATTTAATAAAAGTTTGATGTGCTGCAACAAACTTTATAAATGTTGAACTCAGCGTTCTGCATAAAGAGTTCTGATTATTGACGAGTTATTGACGAGCCTGCCCAAAATCGAGGTTGGAGACTATCGTGTAGCCTAGAGTATTTTTCCTATATAAAAGTTAATGAATAAAAAACAAACTCAAGCAGCTGTAATTTGAATTAATATGATACTAGTGCTAAGTTAGATACTATTATATGAAATTATATTGAATATAGTAACATAATGAATATATTAATATCAAACTTACAGTTTACTATTAAATTAACAATATACTTTTAATTTAATGTTATAATATTATACTAATACAGTCATTTAGACTAGTTCCTCCTCCAGGTTGTGCCTGTGCTACACCGCCTACACTACTTATTTATTCACTCCTGCCCTATTTGAATTTTGTTGTAGTGATCAAGTGGACAGTGAAAGTTATCACACATATCATTGCAGGCGAGCTCACATTATCTAGTTTAAACCAACTAAAACAAAATTACACTGTGTTTCACATGATTTGCTGTAATGTCATAACATCATAGCTTATGTAAGACAGTTGCTTTTTGCAGGAAATCTGACCAGTTCTTCACATAGAAAACTGTTATAGGCAACTGAGAAAATTGGTGAATGCCTCAATTTGTAGGTGGCGTTACAACCTGATGACATATAGGCAATAAATAACATATATATAAACATACTTGAATTCCTTTTAAAAACTCAAAAATGTCCCTTTTAAAGGTGTGTGGCTGATTTAATCAGTTACAGCTCAAAGTGGCGTGGCAGTCTTAAAATATGTTGAAAAAGTCTTGAAAAGGTCTTAAAAAGGTATTGAATTTTACTGCAGAGTTGTTAATTATTTATATTTGAGATCAGCAAATAGGCACATCTTTTTTAATCTATATTCCTGCAACAAACAATTATTTGAATTATTGGTTAATCTGCCAATGTGTCAAAACACTGTTAATCTCTTGTACTCACTTCATTTACAGTGTTCTGGTTGTGTGTAATTGTAAGTGTAGTAATTGTCTATAAAATGTCACAAATTAATGAAAAAGTTTTAATCTCCCAGATTTTCTATGTGACTTATTGAAATGTCTTGTTTTGACCAAAGTTATTGAGTTTATTATCATATTTGACAAAGTAAAGCGTCACAGACTCACATGTGAGAACCTGGATCCAGAGAATGTTTGTCATTTTAGTCTTGAAAGGTGATGGAAACCATTAACTTCTTCTAAATAGTCGCCAATTAATTTCTCTTAATCAATTAAATCTATTAATCAACTTAGCTCTGTTTTTAGCCTTCAAGTCCAAGTCACTTAGAAGCAGCAACAGGAGCTGATTGGCTAGATCTACCTTTTTTTTCTTCTTTTTTTTTAATGCATCATTGTGGCACACTTCACACTCCATACAGTCATACTAGTGGCACACTTCACACTCCATACTGTCGTTCTTGCCTTTGCCAAAGTAGTAGTGTAACTGTAAATTGTAATAAATCCCGTCTTTTCTCTACCAGCCGTTGCAAACCCTCTTCATCTCCTGGCGGCCCACGCCTCAGCCTCGGCGTCCCTCCCTACCAAGAGGCAGAACGGAGAACTGCAAGACCAACCCGAATCGAAGAGAGTGAAAACGGAGGAGAAAGGGCATGGCGACGCAGCAGCCGCCAACAATAACGGCACCACGGACAGAGCCGGAGAAGGGAGGGTCAGTGAACAGATCGGGGACAAGTAGCCTCCCCCCCACGGTCTGCATCCTGACCCCTGCTCTCCTGTACGCATTGAGCCTCACCCCTTTCCACACTGTAACCCCCACCCCCTTCCTACCCGGTTATCATCTACTCCAAGGTGCCAAAAAGACAAGAGATGTGGAAACACCTGCAGGACTACAGAATGTTCAAAACCTCCTCCTCCTCAACCCCCAGTCTTCTTCCATATATTTAAGACCACGAAATACGATGCAAAAACTACAGACCAAATTGAAAATGGAATCAAAGAGTTGCTGATGACTGTGAATCCCCGAAGTTTGAGACCCAGATGGCAAGAAGAAGCACCGGAAGCCGATTTTAAAAATCCCGATTTTCCAGATCAGAAGTGACTTATTGGACAGGCGAGGAGTTCTGAAACTCCCCAAAGATGGAACCGAGCCTCATCCTGGTAGCATTACAGACAAGCGCTTAACTGTGTGTCGGATAGAAAAAGCAACCAAGTGAAATCACCAGTAGTGTATTCCGCAAAGGGACGTGTGTATGTACGTGTGGACATTCCCATCTTCGGCAGCTAGCCTCCATGTTGACCTACCTAACCCAGTCGTGAGTAGATATGCAGTATTCTGTTGTACAAGTGTATCTTTGGATCTTTTTTGAGTGTTTCTCCGTTTCCCAAGGCACAGATATTATCTAGTAATAATTAAGATAACTGAAAGCTATAAGTGGGGTCTTTAAGAACATTTAAACATGATATTTTGGGAAGCCTTTTATTTTTGTTTTTTGTATGTGGACTCTTTGTTCAGTGAAATGAATGTAGTCTCCTCTTTTCCTTTTTAAAGAAAACACTATCTATGGAGTGGATGTTCTTTATTTCTGCTCATTCATGCAAATGAAATTTCTTTATCACTGTACATCTACAAATTTTTTTCATATTTTACAAATATCCTATGAGATAAAAAGTATATTCCCATGCGTATTTGACCATATGCTTCATCGAGCTTGCATGTTACGGATCTAGAGACAATGTACTTGAGCAGATTATCTGAATATGGAACTGAAGAAAATTTAGACTGAATCTACGCTATATGATTCTGACCAGTGCTGCACTTAACCCTCTTCGTCTGTTTTTGTTTTCCGTTTTTAAATATTAATTTGCTCTTGTTTTTTTTTTTTCCTCCCCTGTCATCATGGGCTGTGTTTATTACCTTTTGTGTTGAAGTTGGCAGTCTCTTTGCTTGATTATTTTATTCTGTTCAGGCTGCTAAAGTCTATTCGGATTGTATTCTATGTTACACAAGGAAAACAAGCGATAGGTGTTTGTTCTGCTTCAGTGGGTAAATGCTTTTTTTTTTTTTCTTTCATTTTTTTTTTTTTATAAATTTATTTAAAACACATAACCTCTTCGTTTGTATTTCTTTAAGTAAAAACCTGCTGGGCAAATGCAAACTCAAAATCTGTCTGTGTGAAGAATTCTTTCTTTTTGTTAGAACGAGGGAAGATGAACTTCTAATAAGCCGCAGCATGCTGTTCGGTTTTGTTAAGGAGGGCTGTTAGAGGGGAGGGTGTGTGCCACAGGGGTGGAAATGCTGCCATTGAACACTATCCTCTTCCCTAATTGACAAAGAAAACAGCTCGACTCACTTACGTCCAGCACTAGAGCTGACCGGAAGAGTGCTGAATGGAACGACTGAAGGGTTGAGTAAGCGTTAAGCTAACTAGTTCATAGCACGATAGACCTCTTTCACAGCAGACAGTTTGGCTCGTCAGTCAGAAGAGCACAGGTGTAATTGATACATATGAGCTACTTCCAGGGTCCTGGTATTGTAACATGCTGGCTCACTGACATGGCTTACTTGGACACTTAATGGAACTGAGCCATTGTTAACAATGTGTTTCAAGTTGAAATGTGTGCTGTGGGGGGCTATTCCAATACCTCAACTTCGATCTGCTCACACAGAGTACCCATCCAATACCAGTGCTCTATACTCTCCACAAGTATCAATATTATTTGTACAATATTAGTGGTATTGAACCAGGACCACACCACCTAACTGCACCAAAGTGACATTTACAGCTTTGTTAATGTGCTGTGGCTAATTAGCTATCTAGCCTGCAGACTGGCAGTAAGGTGCTGTTATTTGTGCTGTTAGAGAAGGAGGACATTTTAGCAGTAAGGCTAATGTGGATGCTTGTTAAAAGTCTGGCTCTTGTGATGTGTAGCTCCAAGCTGCTTGTCGGGCTCAGTGTGAGCATCTGCTCTGCATGTAACAGAACACTGGCCCTACTACTTTATGCAAGATTTTATTTGCTGTATTAAATAAGATCTCCATCTGTAGATAGACCGATACCTTGCCTTAAAAATTAGGAGGCGCCAAAATGATATAGAATATGAATCTCTTCTTTTTTTGTGATTCTTTCTCAAAGGAGAGCAGATGTGTTGCTATAGCAGACAAATGCAACTGAATTTGAAAAAAACTAAAAAGAAAACTGAACTAAAGTTTATGGGGCCCTTTACAACACTGAATGACAAATCCATCATTCACGCATTTAATCTAATGAGAGGCTACACTTGGATTCCACAGAATAACTTGCATGAGACAGTCC